TCATCCACAAGCTGATGTTGATCCTGATGATCCTAGCACAGAAGTAAACAAAAGACCACTCAGGCACATTAAACTGCCAACCAAGTATGGAGATTATGAACTGGACTCTACCCTCAAGTTTGGAGCATTTGGTGGAGCTAATTCCTGTAATAGGTATCCACTTTGTTTAAGTGTTAATGCTTTAAGCAAAGAAGACAGATTTTATGCCATGAATGTAATGAACCTAGTGGAGCCTAAGTCTTATTATGAGGCAGTGAAGTCAGATGTCTGGAATAGGGCTATGAAGGATGAAATGTTTGCTCTTGAAGAAAACCAAACCTGGGACATAGTTCCATTACCACCAGGAGCCAAAGAAATTGGCAACAAGTGGGTTTATAAAATTAAGCTCCATCAGGATGGATCATTGGAGAGAAACAAAGCCAGGTTAGTTGCTAAGGGGTATACCCAAGTCTATGGAATTGACTTCCTAGACACATACTCACCTGTAGCCAAAATTAACACTGTGAAGACCTTCTTAGCAGTGGCAAGTGTGAAACATTGGGTGCTTGAACAACTAGATGTCTCCAATGCTTTCTTGCATGGAGATTTGGAAGAGGTAGTTTACATGAAACTGCCTTTGGGATTGGAGGTACCATCAGTGAATGGACAAAAGATGACTTGTAGACTGAAAAAGTCATTATATGGCCTCAAGTAGGCATCAAGGCAGTGGTTTGCAAAATTGACAGGTTTCTTATTGAAGTTTGGCTTTTCACAGTCTGCATCAGATTATTCTCTGTTCACCAAATGGACTCATGGCAAGATCACAGTTCTCCTAGTGTATGTAGATGACATTATACTAGGAGGAGATTCAAGGAAGGACATTGAATAAGTTAAGGTTGCCCTGAGTAAAGAATTTAAGATTAAGCTATTTGGACCACTCAAGTACTTTCTTGGTTTGGAAGTGAGCAGGACTGAGAATGGTTTAGATGTATGTCAAAGGAAATACTGTATTGAGTTGTTGAAGGACACAGGGTACCTGGAGTCCAAAGGGTGCAAGACACCAATTGATACTAAGGTCAAGTTATCATCTCAGGGTAAATTGCTGGAAGATGCAGAAGGTTATAGACGCCTGGTGGGAAGATTACATTACCTGACTATTACCAGGCCTGACATAGCCTTTGCTGTCCAGCAGCTATGCCAGTACCAGAAAAGACCTTGTGCAGAACACATGCAAGCAGCATACAGGGTCCTGAGGTACCTAAAGTCCTCACCTGATCAGGGGATACATTTCAGTAATGAAGCTGAGTTGAAGTTGACTGGATACAGTGACTCAGATTGGGCTAGCTGCCCTGATACCAGAAGATCCATCACAGGATACTGCACTATGCTGGGTTCTTCCCTGGTGACCTGGAAAACGAAGAAGCAGACAACAGTCTCGAGGTCTTCCTCTGAGGCTGAATATAGAGCTTTAGCCCATCTTGTTTGTGAAGTGGAATGGATGAAGAGGCTGCTGAGTGAATTGACAGTGAAATTGCCTCTCCCTATAACAGTCTATTGTGATAACAGGTCTGCTATACACATAGCAGAAAATCCTGTTTTTCACGAAAGAACAAAACATATCGAGATTGATATGCATGTTACAAGGGAGAGGATTAAGATTGGATTGATAAATTTGAAGTACATTAACACTTCTGAACAGCTTGCAGATATTTTCACTAAGGGGCTGGATCGTTTCAGGTTGAAGGAGTTACTTGTCAAGTTGGGGATCAAGTTGATACCACCAAACCTATTCTTCTCATTTTCTCTTGGTGAAATGACGCCAATAGGCGGCGACAGCAGGAGGAACGACGAGATCTCTCGGCGTGTGGAGACTGGAGACGGGGGCGGGCATAGCCGGCAGCAGGTGACAGAATTGAAGAGAAGAAGGAAGAAAATCAGTGAAGAAGAAATGCAGAAGCACTAATCCAGATTGGGGAAGGATTCGTGATACAAGAAAGGAGGAAGAAGATTGGAACGAATTCGTTTTATGTTTAGCTGTTGAGTTGTGAGAGAACGACAGCGTTTTACTTATTCTGCACTTAGCCGTTAAGTTTTACTGTTTGTTTAATTTGGACCAATGATGTAAGGACACCTGTCTTATTTGTGTAAATCAAACACCAGCTATATAAGCTGAAGGGAGACTCAGAATGAGCTTAGCTTCTTCTCCATTTTGTCGTACAAAGTTGTTAGCAGGAGGGGGAACGATGCTCCAATCCCGCCGACGGGCCAAAGATTGAACCCACGAGCGATGATGAAGAACGAGATTGAACTCGTCGACGACAATGGAGTGGGAAGTTGGATCGGGTAAGCTCTTTTACACATGCATGTGGGTTCCTCCGTCCTCTTTGATTTTCAGTATTGATTTTTATATGTGTGGGTTTTTTATTTTTGGATTTTGGTTTCTGATCTCAGCCTCAGGGAGTAGAAGAGAGCAAAGAGAGGGGAAATGGATTTGGACTCCATTGGGCGGTCGGTGAGAAGGAGATGAGATCGATTGAACCGACGGTGGAGGGTTGGTGCTTGCTGGAGGCGGGGGCGGCAGGCTTTGGTTGTTGCTGTGGTAGACAGAAGTTTTGACAAGGATAAGTGATAGGGGTGAGAGCTTGGTAGGTGTGGTTGGGCTTAGGGTTTTGCCTGGTGGGGGACTAGGCTTTTGAAATAGGTGAGTTGGGTTGCTGGGGGTACTGGGCTAAGGAGTTTATTGGGACATGCAACATATTTCGGTTCACCGGTTCGGGGTTCGAAAAATCGGTTCGGTTGAGAGGACCCTGGTTTTCGAACTTGGTCAATTTCCCTTCCGAATTCCGAACCGAACAACATTAATTCGGTTTCTGTTCGGTTTGGGTTTACCGAACCAGATGACCACCCCTAATGTCATTGCCTCGTCAGCGTTACAATCACTAAAAAAATTCAAATTATTTTCCTACTTTCTGTTATTTATCATTTTCAAATTAACCAAAAAAAATAAAAAATTTAAAAATGTGATAATTTGTTGTTAATTTATAAAATTTATTATTTTCAAATTATCCAAAAAATAAAATATAACATACAAACTGAAAGGGAGGAGTTTTTGGGAGACTAGCATAGATGGTTCTTGAAACTGGAAGAGGCTATTGAAGCTGCGAGGTAAACTTCCTCACCTTTTTAGTTTGAATGATGGCCAAGTATACTGGAATAACACTGTGATGCCAAGGTACTCTGTGAAAATGGTTTGGGAGTCACTAAGACCTAAACTAAGTTCTGTTTCATGGGCTGGTTTGGTCTGGTTGGCTCCTTCTACCCCCAGAAACAGATTTCTGGTATGGCTATCATCAAGGATAGGATCCAGACTAAAGATAAAATGAAGAGATGGGGGTTTGCAGGTCCTAACTTATGCAGTCTTTGTAATCAACACCCAAAAAGCATAGACCATTTATTTGTACAATGTGAGTTTTTTAGGAAGCTCTTTCATGAACTGTTGGGGGGGGGGGGGGGTTCAGATTTCTTACCAAGGGATTGGGAGGAAGGGTTGCAGTGGGCAACTAGGAAGTTTGGTAAGAAAGGGACAGATGAAGGGCATGGTAGAATTGTGTGGCATTCTATGATCAGTCATGTATGGAGAGAACGATGCACTAGAGTTTTTGAAGGGACTAACAGAAGTGTGGAAGGATTGAAGAAGGTAATTAGGAGTGAGATTCTGGTGATGATGCAGGAGGAGGAAGCTGCCAAAATTCTGATTCTCTGATAATGCAACTTCTTTGTGATGTGGATAGTTTTACCCGAGGTCTTATAGTTAGCTATAGTTGATTTGTAAGCAGTTTATTTGGTCTGATTGCCCTATTCTATAGGGATACCTAGCTGGAAAGGTTGTTTCCAGCAACCCCTTTTCTTTGATGGAATGGAAATAATCTAATTCATAAATATATGGCAAAGGCTAGCGTACGCCTGGACGTACTCTAGCCTACCGTACGCCCGTTGAGTTTTTCTATTTAGACAATGAATTAACCAAAGTTCGGGGCATGATACTATACCCTAACCCCTAATGGGTGAACCCCAGTCCGCAATTCACTAACCCAAAGCATAATATTCATTTAATCTTGAAATGAAAATCAACGGTTCTGATTCGTCGAAATTATTGTTGATTTTCATTTTAAGATTAAATGAATCTCATGATTTGGGTTAGAAAACTAGGGACTGGGATTTATCCATTAGTGGTTAGGGTATAGTATTATGCCAAAAACTCTGATTAATTTATGATCTAAATAGCAAAACTCAAACGGGCGTACGGTAGTCTAACGTGTGTGTATATATATATATATATAATTCAGGCTAGCGTACGTCAGACGTACGCTATACACCTATGTTCACACTTATAATTATTTTTAATTTATTATAACTAAATAAATAATTGCAACTACATCTATTAATTTAATTTTTTATACGATTTAGTCCCAAATAATTTTTTGCCATCATGCTGAAGTTAATCATATAAATTTCCGATATAAACATTATGGTACCTTAATTTCGATAATCATGATTATACCCACAAATTTCTTATTGCAAAAAGAGTCTGAATCGTCATTTGTAATAGTTCAACCGAGTCTTTTATATTTTTTTATAATCCAAGTTCATCTCATTTTTTAAACGACCTGATGCTCATTTTCTTATGGGTTAATACCTTATTATGGTCTGAACTATGACCATGTAATCAACTTTGGCCCGTGGTTTGAGAAACTAACATCCTGGCCCGAACTATGCAACATATAGACAGAATTGGCCTGGAGCGTGGTTTGACCATTTGTTTGGACGGCCAACACCGTTGACCGTTAGTCAACTGTCCAGGTCATTGCCATGTCAGCACAAAAAAATTATAATTTCATTTTCTTTTTTATTTTCTTTACAAAATTGAATAATAAAGAAAAAAATAAAACAATAACTTTTGGCCACCCATCCCCACCTTATCCCCTCACCTTCTTTCCTTTTCGATCAAACCCAAAAAAACCCTATCTTCCATCTTCTTCCCCGATAACCCGCCGCCGCACTTCTGACACCGGTTGACGACGAGTATCTGCCGGCAGGAAGGGCATGACGAATGGCTGCTGAGCCAGGTGTCGATGCAGTCCACGTGGATGTCGTGGCCGCACTGCGGGAGCACCCGGAACTCGTCCCCGGCCGTGAATTCCACGAGGCAGATGGCTCAATCGGTGAATTTTGCCGCGGCGTCGGCGGCGGGGGAGAAGGTCTGCTTGGGGAGGGCGCGGAGGATCTTCTTCTTCACCCCCTTGTTGGCGTGCGAGGAGCTCGGGGCCTCCGGCAGAGCCCTGCCTCCCCCCACCGCGGCGGCGAGTCCGGAGAAGGAGAGGTGGAGAATCCAGGCGCAGCGGGCGATGGCGACGAGGCCGAGGACGCAGATCAGGGCGCAGAGGAGGGCCGCCAGTATGACGACGAAGTCGCTGTCCACCGGCGGGGCAGGCGGTTGGGAGTCCCCGGCCGGTGCTTTTGTTGCTGCTGCCGACACGGAATCGAGCAGCCTGAATGGACGAGCCATGTGGAGGAGCTGGAGAGAGAGAGAGAGAGAGAGAGAGAGAGAGAGAGAGAGAGAGTTGACTAAGGTGGAAGCGGTGACCTGGACAGCGACCTGGATGGTGGGTTATCTGGGATATGGAGGCGGTGGGTTATCGGGGAAGAAGATGGAAGATAGGGTTTTTTTTTGGGTTTGATCGAAAAGAAACGAAGGTGAGGGGATAAGGTGGGGATGGGTGGCCAAAAGTTATTGTTTCATTTTTTTCTTTATTATTCAATTTTGTAAAGAAAATAAAAAGAAAAATGAAATTATAATTTTTTTGTGCTGACATGGCAGTGACCTGGACATTTGACTAACGGTCAACAATGTTGACCGTCCAAACAAACTGTCAAATCACGCTCCAGGCCAATTCTGTCTATATATGCTGCATAGTTCGGGTCATGATGTTAATTTCTCAAACCACGGGCCAAAGTTGATTACATGGTCATAGTTCAGGCCATAATAAGGTATTAACCCTTTTCTTATCTAAGGAAGACTTTACTTTCCCTTCGTCTTCATCGTCTTCATGACTTCATCATCGTCATCCTCGATCTCCGGCAGGAATGCACTGCAAGGGGAGGAGACGTAGCGGAGAGGGAAGAGACGCAAGTGGGTACTTGTTTGAGAGATAAGAGAGTGCAATCAACTAGGCAAGCGTTGGAGATTTATTGGAGGTACTCGAGCCCACTCATCCCTCGGCCCAGTCATCGGCCCACACGGTTACAGCGCCTCCATGTATAATGGCAAATTCTGTAATCTGTGAAACCCTAGTAGCTAGAAGCAAAGGGTATAAATATTGTTGTATGGCCGCAGGCCACATTAAGTGATCATCAATAAGAATTCACAAACTGGAGAGGCATTCCTCTCCCGTGGACTAGTCCCGTTCACACGGGGATACCACGTAAATCGATCTTGTTCTTTCTTTTTCGCATTACAGTCTAGATATTTTACAAGATTTTTCCTTAGAGATGGTTGGTCGTGAGGTCAATACCGGTAAAAGAGGCGAAGCCAGTCAAGCGATCAGGTATTTGACCAGAGAAGCAATTGAAAGGGACGTTGAGGAGAGTGAGGGAAAGGAAGGGTGGAAAACTGGAAATTAGGTTGGGGATTGCCGGAGAAGTTGCTGCCCTGGAGTGGGCGGAGGTTAGGGTGAAATAAGGGACCTTTCCAGAGAAGCGGTAGCCGGAGGGGATGAGGCTGTGGTGGGAGACTGGTTCGTATAGGACGGTGAGCCAGGACAGGAGCAGTGCTCGAAGACGGGATCGATTTGTAACTTGAAGGAGAATGGTCAGAATGGCCGGCCTTATAGAAACGATTGTTGAAGGTTTTGCAATTTCTATCTTTTGTGCAATTCCAGTTGTTCTGTGGGTCTTTGCAGGGAGGATTTGATTGCTGGTTTCTCTTGCAATCTAATGTAAGAAGTCTTTTTCTGGTGTTGTTTATCTTTTATTAGATGAAGTTGCAGAAGCACAACACTGAAAATTACGATGTAAAATATATTAATGCTTGGGTTACGATGCAATTACGAAACAGAGTACCTACCTAGCATTCTCAGCGTGCTCTGCGTCACTTTGAGAGTCAATCAACTATAACTTCGGTAATCTGGTTCAAAAGTACAGGCCCCTGATTGTAACAATTTAGCTGAAATTGTGGAAGATGAAGCTCAGGGTTTTCTGAGTTCACCATTTCATATATATATAGAGTTCAAGAACAATTACAGTAATACGCCACTTGTCCAGCGTTTACAGGCCATTAAGAAAATTAAACTGTTCTTTCTTAACGGCTAACTAGATAATAAACCAAACGACAACGTAATGGTAAAAGTAGTAAGTCCTTCTTTGTGAAATGGCTGCATCTTCAGTAAACGACACCGTCTTGGCTCTTTTGTTTCTTCTCTTCACTTCAACTCAATCCTGAGCTCTCTCGGATTTCTCTGCTGCAATTCTTCCTTCTCTGCAACTCTGGCAACTCTTCTTTGATCAACTCTTCTTTGATTCTGATATCCCCCCTCAAGTTAGTGGCTCCAACATGTTGGTGACACCTAACTTGATCAGCAATTCTTTCATTCGAAACCTGTCAAGTCCCTTAGTAAAGAGATCTGCTAGCTGGTTAGCAGTTCCAACATGTTGTAGTTTGATCAAACCACTTTTAATCCGATCCCTGGTCACATGTATGTCTATTTCTATGTGTTTTGTCCGCTCATGGAACACTGGATTCTCTACAGTATAAATTGCAGATTTGTTGTCACAAAAGATGGGAATAGGTAGAGGTACCTTCACTGTCAACTCTACTAGGAGTTGCTTTAGCCACTGCACTTTACATACCACATGAGCCAAAGCTCTATATTCTGCTTCAGAGGAGGATCTAGACATTGTAGTCTGTTTCTTTGTTCTCCAGGTCAGTAATGAATCACCAAAGAAAGTGCAGTATCCTGTTGTTGATCTTCTAGTATCTGGACAACTTGCCCAATCTGAGTCACAGTAACCAGTCAACTTAAGTTCATTCTTACTGCTGAAATGAATCCCTTGGCCTGGAGATGTCTTCAGATATCTCAAAAATCTGTAAGCAGCTTGCATGTGTTCCTGGCAGGGGTTCTTCTGGTACTGGCAAAATTGCTGCACAGCAAATAAAGGCTATGTCTGGCCTGGTAATAGTCAAGTAATGCAACCTGCCAACCAGTCTTCTATAAGCTTCTCCATCTTCCATTGGTGTTCCCTGAGCATATAACTTCACTTTGGTATCCATAGGTGTTTTGCATCCCTTTGAATCCAGATAACCTGTGTCTTTCAAAAGTTCAACACAGTACTTCCTTTGACATACATCAAGACCATGATCATTCCTAACAACCTCCAAACCCAGAAAGTATTTAAGAGGTCCTAGTAGTTTGATCTTAAACTCCTTGCTTAGAGCCAACTTAACCTGCTCTATGTCCTTTTGTGCATCTCCTCCCAGGATGATATCATCCACATAAACCAACAGGACAACCACTCTTCCATGCACCCATTTAGTGAAAAGAGAGTAATCAGAATTCGATTGAGAGAAACCATTCTTGAGAAGAAAGCCTGCAAGCCTAGCAAACCATTGCCTGGAGGCTTGTTTAAGCCCATATAAAGACTTTTTCAGTCTGCAAACAAGATTCTTTCCTTCTGGATTAGATACTTCAACTCCCAAAGGAATCTTCATATACACTTCATCATGCAATTCACCATGCAAGAAAGCATTAGATACATCTAACTGCTCCAAAACCCAATTCTTCACACTAGCTACTGCTAACAGTGCTTTAACTGTGTTAATCTTAGCAACAGGTGAGAAGGTGTCCAAAAAGTCAATTCCATAAACTTGATTGAAACCTTTAGCAACAAGTCTTGACTTACACCTCTCAAGTGAACCATCTGGTTTAAGTTTAATCTTAAAGACCCACTTATTTCCTATTGCTTTCTTCCCTCTTGGCAGCTCTACAATATCCCAGGTTTGATTCTCCTCTAAAGCAAATATCTCAGACTTGACTGCTTGATTCCAGATATCATCCTGAATAGCCTCATAGTATGATCTAGGTTCTTGCATATTGATCACACTTAGAACATAATGCCTGTCAGCTGAGTTCAGTTTATCAACACTTAAACAAAGCGGATACCTGATAGAAGCATTGGCTTTACCAAAAGCTCCAAATTTGAGGGAAGGATCCAGTTGATAATCCTGAAATTTGGATGGCAAGTTAACTTTCCTTTTAGGTAAGGAACTGCCATCAGCATTATGCTCATCTAAATCATGGTCAGCCTGAGATATGAGTTCCTGTTGATCACTGTCAAAGTATTCATAATGATCCACAACAGGAGATAAAACAGGCTCACTAGTCCCCCCTTCATCTAAGGATGAAACAAATTGAGACTGTTTAGACAAAGAAGATGGAGTGTTATCTGGTGCAGGGATGGTATGTGAGGAAGAAGGTTTAGAAGATAGTGTAGAAGGTATAGAAATAGGTGGAGCAGAACTGATGTTTGGTGGTGTATAAGAAGGTTCAGGAGAATCAGAAGTGGAAAGGGGTGGTTCAGAAGATTTGTATGGAAGGATTTTCTCATAAAAGATTACATCTCTAGAGAAGAAGACCTGTCTGGTATGGAGGTCTAAGACTTTGTAACCTTTTATACCAGAAGGAATTCTCAAGAAAATGCACTGTCGAGCTCTAGGTGCAAACTTGGTTCTTCCATGGGACAATGTGCTGGCATAACACAGGCAGCCAAACACTTTAAGGTGAGAAAGAAAGGGTGGTTTGTCATATAGAACTTCATAAGGAGATCTATTGGCTAGAATGGGTGTGGGAATCCTGTTAATGAGATACACTGAATGCAAGATACAGTCACTCCAAAAGGTAAGTGGAATCCCTGACTGAAACCTCAAGGACCTAGCCACATTCAAGATGTGCTGGTGTTTCCTTTCTACACGAGCATTCTGCTCTGGGGTCTCTACACAACTCATCTGATGCTCAATTCCTTCTTGCAATAAGTAATCACACATGGCAAATTCCTTCCCTTGGTCACTTCTGATGACCTTAACTGTTGTACCAAACTGGTTCTTAACCAGATTGCAGAACCCTTCCAGTAAACCTCTAACCTCACTCTTATGTTTCATAAGATATACCCAAACAGCTCGTGAGAAATCATCCACAACAGTCAAGAAATAATTGAATCCATCATAAGAAGTTACTGACAATGGACCCCAAATATCCACATGAAGTAAATGAAATCTGTTTGGTGCAACTAGGGATGGCAATTTTGCCCATACCCATGGGTATTTTACTATCCAACCCAATTGGGTCAATGTAGTTATGCTGCTCACAGGCCAAAGTGTGAGTAGATACTCACACGGTGGATTTGTTGTCCACGTGGGCAAGGGTAAGCTGGCTCTTGATTTGGGTAGAGGAAGGTGAGCCGGTTTGGGTCGGCTGGTCGAGCCCAGGGC